GAGCAAATTTCCATAATTCAATTCTTGTCTGAAATTGACAGTCAAATTGCTTTCATAATTTGCCATGTGAATATCTGCATGGGACTTATTCACTTTCAGATTTGTTGATTTCATAACAAGAACAGCAATTTTCTATTTTTTCACAAATGTTTTAATGATTGTTGGTCAAAAATGCTATTTCAAACATCCAAATAAACAGGGGAGGGGGGTAGATTTCCACATTGCTGAACTATATAACATGAAGATGTTTACAATCATCCCTGTGCATGTGATTAAATTCATAAACACACTGATGCAATTATGTATAGAGTTTTTAGAATATTGAATTTAACAAACTCATTAGCATATCATTTGAATCTCATTAGCATATCATTTGAATCTCATTATGAACCATGACATTAGAAGAATCATGCCAGACTGTACATGTATGACATTGACTGAGCAATGCGTTATGGGTTCTGATGTGTTTAACTGATAATGACTAAACAATTCCTTTTTTTCCAGAAAAAATTTGCTGAAGCATTGAGATCATTTGACAAAGTTTTAACTAAATGGCCAGACAGTAGCAAAGCTCACTACGGAAAGGCCAAATCATTGGACCAACTTGCTGATGAAAGGCGCAGTAATAAACTTTTGCAGGACTCCATACAATCCTACCAAGACACTGCCAATGCAGCAGACTGTTCCGTAGAGATGAAAAAAGCAGCACTACAAAGGCAGGCTAATAGGCTGCAGTTTTTAGGTAAGTTAACCTCTATCCTCAGATTCACTTGTACATTGGGTTAATTCAAGGTTGTATGAGAATTCAAAAATGTATACACCTTTATTACACCAAAAGGCCATATCCTTTTTAAGTGCATTTTCTATTCTATTCTATTCTATTCTATTCTATTCTATTCTATTCTATTCTATTTATTCAGTAACTGAAAATATAACTGCAAAGTAACAAGTAATATTCAATATAAAGTAGTTTTTCTCTTTTCTGGCCTCAATCCATATTGAGACTGTTATTATGAGTTCTGGTGATAATCAATTATTTATTTTGGATCATGAATTTAATAAACATATTCAAGGATAAGCACATTCTTTACTAGGCCAGGATGCCTCAACAATGTTTTTGTATAATTATCACAGTACAATAACTGTATGTATTGAATTGGTGATTATTTTGTTGCAGGTAAAAGTAGAAAAGCAGTACAAGTATACAATCAACTTTACAGACTATTCCCAGAAGACTTGGAAATCTTACAAGAGTTAGGTGTGGCAAATCTGATATTAGGAGACAATGACAAAGGACAGCAAGCATTTGAAAAGGTATAATAACTTTTTACAAAGTAAATAAGTTGAAACGACTATTACATTTGAATCAAAATACATTAATTTCTCAGTGCACACCTATGGTTGTCATGAGACTTTTTAAAATACATTGTGACAGTTTGGTTCCAATGTGTGCAGATTGCATATCGCCAGTTATTTTATCAACATTTGTAGTTGTCAAATCATATGGTTGTTGTTAGCCAAAATTGTTCACAGCATTTTATCTGAATTGCGATTTGTTGGAGATAAAACCAGTGACCTGTGGATCTGATCAACTCTTGATTAGATACTTCTATGAATATTGAAGGTAGAAAGACTGACAAATCTGTGTGTTTTGTTTACATCCATTTTGTAGAAGTTTGAGCTGACCAACTTTCTGTTGCATACATATGGTTTCAGCAAATTGAAACAATATTTTGCTCTTTGTAACCACCATTTTTTAGAAATGAACCCAATTGTCATCTCAGGAAATGGACGTCCTGCAGAGTACAATCAAGAGTTATTTTCCTATTGATGTCTCTATGTCAGAATCCAAAAAGCATCAAAGAGCATTCTTCAAATGTGAACAGTTGATATTTCTGATATGGAATTGGATCATATCATTCAAAATATCTAGTCTGTAGAATCTGATACAAAAGTATCAATCAGATGTACAGGATTTGTATGACATGTATGTTGCTAATTGTGTTAACTGCTAATTGTAGCTAATAATAAATGATTTACTTTATTAATCATACAGGATCTTACTCAATATATTTCTTTCAGATGTTAAAATTAAATCCTAATAGTGGGTTTGCCATGGTACATCTGGGGTTCATTCTGAAAGCTAAAACTGATTATGAGGGCGCTGTACCACTACTCAAGAAAGGAATTGAAAGTAAAGAAAAGGGAACAGATGAAGGCAAATTTTACTTTCATCTTGGTGATGCCCTCTATAGACTGGGAAGGGAGAATGAGGTAAGAGAGTATGTCCCACAATGCACTGTTCTACTGAATATTCAAAGGTGAGATCATTCTTATTCTCGGAAATGAACATTTGGGCGTTTTCATCGTCTGACAACCATCCCTGATGAAGACAATGGGCTAGGTTTTGGGACTTTCCTGAACAGTGTAACAAGATTACCCTACATATGCAATATATGTTGTTTATTTTTACTTTAGCTGTATTCACACCTTTCCAACCAGCATTCACCAGCAGCTTGCACAGAGGCCCATAATAATACATGGTACAGTGCTGCATGTCTTGGCAACATAGAACGTTCTGTGATTCCATGTGTTAGCAAATAAAACAGACCATGAAATGAGAAGTCAAACCTTTGCTGTCATTAAATGGTGGTGGTTGTCATGCCACACATGAGGGAAATATGGGTCTAATATGAACAAAGAATGTGAAATGATTATGAAAAATTTAGGTTTATAAACACAAATGTTGCACATGGGCGGCACGACAACCACCCACCTTCAAGAAATACCAGAAATCATATAAAATCATTGTTTAGTACTGGTATATACTTTCTTGCAATTCACACAAAATTCAATATTAAACATTATATTAAATTGACTCTTGTTTTGTCTTGTTGTATCTTGTAGGCCTATGATATCTATGCTAAAGGCGCAAAGCGAGGTCATTTTAAATCTATGTGGCAGCGTTCCTTGTACAATGTAGATTCACTGAGAGCTAAACCATGGTGGCTACCTAAAGAAGCTAGATATACCCAGCATGCAAAGGTAAGCTGATCTTGTAGACATGGTATATGTACCATACATCATGAGTTGTATATGTACCATACATCATGAGTTGTATATGTACCATACATCATGAGTTGTATATGTACCATACAACATGAGTTGTATATGTACCATACAGCATGAGTTGTATATGTACCATACATCATGAGTTGTATATGTACCATACAGCATGAGTTGTATATGTACCATACATCATGAGTTGTATATGTACCATACATCATGAGTTGTATATGTACCATACAGCATGAGTTGTATATGTACCATACAGCATGAGTTGTATATGTACCATACAACATGAGTTGTATATGTACCATACAGCATGAGTTGTATATGTACCATACATCATGAGTTGTATATGTACCATACATCATGAGTTGTATATGTACCATACAGCATGAGTTGTATATGTACCATACAGCATGAGTTGTATATGTACCATACAGCATGAGTTGTATATGTACCATACATCATGAGTTGTATATGTACCATACATCATGAGTTGTATATGTACCATACAGCATGAGTTGTATATGTACCATACATCATGAGTTGTATATGTACAAAAATAGCCAAAATATTTGAGCAAAAACTGAAAATTGACTCAAATTTTGTCTGTACCTCGCCTCCAAAATTTATTTATTTCAAGAAATATTGAAGAATATGTAAGAAAAAAGGGAAGAAAAATCGGGACAGAAAGTGGTGGTGAAAAGGTTAAAGTTGCTTGTCTGGATGTTACATCGACGCAAATTTGTTGACAATGTACATGTGAAATGTTGTGCTATCTCATCATGCATTTCATTGTGTACTCATTGCATGTCATGTAAGTACACACTTTGCTCTATAACATTTCCTTCACTCATATAATTGTAGAAACTTGAAGACAATTGGGAAGTGATTCGAGATGAAGGGTTGGCAATGATGGATGACACTACTGGGGCTTTCCTCCCAGAAGATGAGAATCTTCGAGAATCTGGAGACTGGAAGCAGTTCACTCTTTACCAGCAAGGTATTTACTTGTGACAACACACATCCATTTAAGCAGATTGCCTGAATGTGTTCAACATAAACTACAGAAAATGACATTTTGTTAATAAATTGCATGGTACTCATGAGTTGAGATATTTTATAGTTATTTACCATGCACTATCAATAGACAAAACATATGCTTTCATTGGTGTTAATTATATTTAGAATAAATATTTAAACAAAAGGCAAGAAAAGTGAAGCAATTGCCACCTAGGGCACCTTAGAAATGGGATGGTGAATTACAGGGAACCTGGGAAATGGGACGGTGAATTACAGGGCACCTGGGAAATGGAATGGTGAATTACAGGGTACCTGGGAAATGGAATGGTGAATTACAGGGTACCTGGGAAATGGAATGGTGAATTACAGGGCACCTGGGAAATGGGATGGTGAATTGCAGGGCACCTTAGAAATGGGATGGTGAATTACAGGGAACCTGGGAAATGGGACGGTGAATTACAGGGCACCTGGGAAATGGAATGGTGAATTACAGGGTACCTGGGAAATGGAATGGTGAATTACAGGGTACCTGGGAAATGGAATGGTGAATTACAGGGTACCTGGGAAATGGGATGGTGAATTCAGGGTACCTGGGAAATGGGATGGTGAATTGCAGGGTACCTGGGAAATGGGATGGTGAATTACAGGGTACCTGGGAAATGTGATGGAGAATTACAGGGTACCTGGGAAATGGGGCGGTGAATTGCAGGGTACCTGGGAAATGGGATGGAGAATTACAGGGTACCTGGGAAATGGAATGGTGAATTACATGGCACCTGGGAAATGGAATGGTGTTACCTACAGAATAGAACAGTGAATTACAGGGTATTTGGGAAATGGGATGACTCTGAATTACAGGGATATTTACTAGATTTAAATTCACTTGTTTGTGAAGAACAACATACAAAAAATTATCAAGCCCTGTACATTTTTATAAGGCTAATACTATCCGGCCATCAAAAGAAAATGTTTGTAGTGAAGGAAATAATATTTCTGCTGATGTACAATCCATCACCTTATTTTTGCTAATAATATTGTTTCATCTGTCATAGGAAAAAAAATTGAAGAAAACTGCAAGAAAACTCCTAAAACTTGTGCAATAATAGACACTATAGAGGAATCAAAGGGATGTAAACGAGGACAGGTAATGATATGAAATTAATACACTATGTATATCAGCGTCAATAATTTGCTTATATTATATTAACCTTTTCACCACCAGACTTTCTCCCCCAAATTTTCTTGTACTTTTTTCTTATATTCTTCAAAATTTCTGGAAATTAACTATAATTTTGGAGCAAAAAGAAAGTATTTGAGTCAATTTTCAGTTTTTACTCAAAAGATTTGGCTGTTTTTGTCTCAATCTTTTGAAGGAATGTGAAGACTATAAACGGGACTATTTTGTGAATTTGTTATGAATAGAGGGAACTGGTGGTGAAAAGAGTAATAGAAGTTGCACTTGCACTTGCTCAGTGCATGTTTAAATTTTGTCACAATGGAGCCATACTGAACAGAAACATGTCTCTGAGTTTTGAAAGTTTCACCCAATGTGCTACCAATATTTAATTATAATGTACTTTTTTTATTGTAATTCAGTCACTAAAAACTGGATCTCTTACTCTACATGATAATGACCTCTATATCACAGCTTGTGATGCAAACATTGAAAGAACAAATTTTCATTAATCTCATGTGACAACAATAAACCAATCGTATTTACCTTAAATATATTTCAGATTAAATATTAATTATTTTTGATATTTTTATTGCAGGTGAAGTTTTCAATAATGCATCCTGGTACGCATGTTTGGCCACATTGCGGGCCGACTAACTGTAGATTGAGATTACATCTTGGATTGAAAATACCAGATAATGTACAACTTAGAGTCGGTAATGATACCAGGTATGTAAGTTATAATTAACTCATTGGGCCAAACAAAATTGTGTTTTCCTTGTCCTGTTTTTATTAGCTGCGCTGTCGACTTTGTTGAGCATAGCTTATCGTATGGATGATTGTCTCCCATCATCTGCTGTTTGCGTCAACTTTCTATTTTTTCAATTTGTTTATTTTGTGATGATATCTTTAATTTTTTAATTGAAATGTGCATAGCTGAAAGCAGACTTATCTCAGCCGAAAGGCTGCTTGTTTGTTAGCTTCACTATGGCTGAGCAGAGATCATAGGTTGACTGGAGTTGTGGTTGTCTGTTTGTCTTGCAAGATTGCTAGAGATTCATAATGTGTACACGTGGATTGGCCTTCTTTCAAATTTGTTTATTTGCTGAAGATCTCACTATTTTTGTGAAAGTTATGATTTTTCCCACTTTCCCATACATTGCATATGGGCTATGTATAATACATGGACTGAAATAGACAAGTGTGTTATTGGGTTCTTAACAACCAGGGACAAAATTTCAGGTCAAAGTCATTTCAATGTTCATATGTTTTGCTGCTATTGGACAAATGTAAAAGTTGAAAGGTAGTCTTTATTTAGTACACATTGTGTTGGGTTCTGAACTACCTGGACTAATGTTTTTGAAAAATGTTGAATTTCATGTCAAGGCTTGATTCATCATTTCATAATTGTTGTATCTACTTCTTAAATTATTGTAAACCATTTTATTTTCACTGCTAGAAATGTTTGCAGTTTGTGGATAGATGCATTCCTAAGTAAAATATTTGGCTAAAGTCATTGTAACTCGGTTACTGCTGCAATATTATGTGATTTTCCTGACTCAAAAAAAATTAATGAAAAATTTTCCTCTTGCAAAGTATTTAAAATCATTCACAAATGAGTGACAGTGAACATTCTGGAAACATGTGTGTAAAGCACAATTAGGTAATTAAGTAATTTGCATAACAATTAACCACTTTTATCATTTTATTGTGTATCTGTTTGCATGAATGCTTTGAAACTTGATACACAAGTGGTGTTTGCATAGATCAATATCTAATAATAGCTTCTAATTAGTCTGTGCTAATTTGCACACTAATTAACTGTTAGCTTGTGGATTGACCTCTGTGTTCGTCAATTCATTCTCGCCTATATGTTGGATCTGCCTGAGAAAGTAACAAACTCACACTTCACATATCATGGCAGATATATACACCTCAATTCGTTTCATGACCAATGGCTCAATGTCATCAAATTCAAGCATTTTTGGCATTTCAGAACCACATCTTGGTCATATATGGATGGATTTTTTATGGGATGTTACTTTGTTTTTTTAGATCAGATACAAAATGGCCGACTGGCAGTCATTTTGTTTTAATAAAAGTGGTTCCAGAGCTGTATACATCTTGTTGCACATATGCATGTGCGTTTGTTCAGTTTCAAGATTGCAGAATGATGGTTATTTTAATGTTAAAAATTCAGCATTTCTTCTATTCCGAATTGAGATCTTGATGTATACCGGTAGATGGATTTTGTTCAAACTTGGTACATACATTGAAAATTATCTATCTCAAGAACCATACATCGGTTTTTGATGAAACTTGGTGCATAGATGCTCTGGGCCAATGCGCAGATTTGATTAGGTTTTGGTAAAAATCCATGCTCGTTAATTACCTAATTTACATGATAATTAGCTAATTTTTAGCTATTCTATGACTTTTCCACTGATATCTAAAGAATCACTCATTGGATTTTGATGAAACTTGGTACATAGATGCTCTGAACATATGCGCAGATTTGATTAGTTTTTGGTAAAAATCCGTGCATATTAATTACCTAATTTGCATGATAATTAGCTATTTTTTAGTGGTTCCATGACTGTTCCACTGATATCTAAACAACCACTCATTGGATTTTGATGAAACTTGGTACATAGATGCTCTGAACAAATACTAGGTTTTGATTAGTTTTTGGTAATAATCCGTGGATACTAATTACCTAAATTGCATAATGATTAGTCAATTTTCGGTTTTTCCACTGATATCTCAAGTACTAATCATCACATTTCAATGAAACTTGGTACAGACCTGATAGTTTTTATGGTAATATCAGTATATATAATTACCTAATTTGCATAATTAATTCATTTTCAGGTTTTGATATAAGTAGTGAGCATTACATTTCAATGAAACTTGGTACTTACATACTCAAGGACTATGCAGAGATTGATTGTTTCGGATAAATATTTGTGCATATTAATCACCTAATTTGCATAATTAGTTAATTTTCAGCTTTTCCACGGGTATCTCAAGTACTAATCATCACATTTCAATGAAACTTGGTACATAGATCCTTTAGGACTATGCAGAGACCTGATTAGTTTCAGGGTAAATAATTGTGCATATTGATTACCTAATTTGCATAATTAATTAATTTTCAGCTTTTGATATAAGTACTAATCATCACATTTCAATGAAACTTGGTACATAGATCCTTTAGGACTATGCAGAGACCTGATTAGTTTCAGGGTAAATAATTGTGCATATTGATTACCTAATTTGCATAATTAATTTTCAGTTTTTCTACTGATATCTAAAGTACTAATCATCACATTTCAATGAATCTAGAATTATGCAGAGACCCAATTAGTTTTTGGTAAATATTTGTGCATATTAATCACCTAATTTGCATAATTAA